ACACCGCCACGCGATCGCAACTGTTTTTTTTACGAGTGTGATGAATTTGTAAGAATATTTTTTTCATATATTTTTGTAATAAAAATGTCATCATTATCCTCTTATGCTGATTATTGTGTCAATTAAATGAATTGGTTATTCATTAGTGTAATTTGTACGTGATTTCGGTAGATTTTAGGAATCTAGATTCCTAATACTATTCTCGTTTATTATAACATATTTAGCTACCTACACATTCTCTCTCCCCCTCTTTTCCATTTTCATCTTATTAGATTTTTACCATCTGACTTCATTAGGTTTTAATTTACATGTTTATATACCATTATTATATAGTATGTACTTGTTGTCAGTGTTTTGTGAAGCCAAAGTAGAAATATGATTTTGCAGATTATCTCCAAAACATTAGTTTTTTGTGAACCACTTTAATTGTTTCAATAAATGTTTAATTTACGCGAGCGCCCGAAGGTTAAAAATTGTTTTGTTTGGGATATTTGGTTCTACTCTCGAGAAGAGGTACCGGTTGAAATAACCTACAAGAAAAGCTACCTTCTTGGAACTCCTCACGCCACGAAAAGGCAGGCAAGCGGCGAGCGAGCGCAAATGAATCGATTCGGTCGGCAAGCCAAGTGACATGGAAATCGATATCAAACCACCCTCGTTTGCGATTTTGCTGCTTTGCAGCCTTCCGTCATCATTTAAAAGCTTACAATGTGCTCTCGAAGTACGGAATGAGCTGGCAGCAGCGGAGTCGCTTGGGATTCTGGAAGAGAGCGACGCGTGTAAAAGCATTTCTTGAAACACGCCCGCACGCGCCATGATAGTCAAGAAGGCTGGCAACCCTGAAGGCCGACGGGAGAGAGGGGGCAATGAAAGGTAAGAGTTCAGTGAAATCACAAGGTCAGATGCTGCCCCTCGACTGACGATCAAGATAAGCTGTAATGTTGAGAAAGGGGAAATGTTCGTCGGCGCCTAAAAACAAGGGCAAACTTTATACAGGAGACACCAATCCGTCAGGAAAAGTATTTTTCTAGGTGTTCACGGAGCGTTTCGGACCCAGACACGGACGTGGTGCCTGGAAAAAGGGGCAACGCCAACTTCTGCAGCGAGATCGCTCTTCAGTGAGGTTCGCAATTCGAATTCTGCAACGCTTAAGCTGGCAAACAGAGCGACTACGATCACTACTATATGGGGAAAGTGCGGTCCCCCAATCCCATACATTACTTTGCGAGGAATTTCGCGTTAAACGACACAGTCCATGTTTAGATGAAACGGTTGCCGATGTGAGAAATCACCGACCATGGATTCTACATGGATGTTCTTAATCAGTGAAGCTAGTCAGAACGCACTCTTCAGTACCTCTGCTGCCAAGGAGAGCAGAATTCAATTGGAGCTTCTGCAGAAATGAGTGGCACATGCACATGCGAGAGATGTCCGAGGTATTCGCATAGGGATCATGAAAGGCTTCAGCGGAGTGATTTCATGAAGACGTCTGCGTGCGATGTCTGCTTATGACGAGAGTGACAACGAGGTACGAGCGACAAACAGAGAACGTGAGGCTGATCAATTCTGCGGACAAGCACGGAGAGCTGATCACAAAAACACTCAATTCACACCGGTCTTGGAAGCGATATCAGACCGCTATGTCCAAATGTGTTAGTTCCATCACCTTTCTAGAACGAGAACATAACGATACTAGGTTTGGTATCGGGGTACACTCTCATGTCGGCGGATGAAAATGATAACTATTGCCAATGCCGGCACCGGATCTCTCGACAGCGTTCATAGCTGAAGCTCGCGGCTACGAGACTGTCAGGCAAATCGAAGCATATTTAGTATGTCCCGGTTTCCGTCCCGGCATAAATGGCGTAGCTGGCCAAGGTTTGGTTCGACGGGAAGATCGACAGAATAGTTTAACACTTATCGAACTGGGCGACAAACCCGAAATGCTGAGGGTATTGTTCTCTCCGAGGGGCCGTTATAAAGGGTTTAACGCACCTGAATGCGAGGTGAAATCCATCCTGCAATTGACACATGGCACCTCGTGCACCGTCCACAAATAAAACGACGTCGTCGGTTGTCATACGGCGAGAAATGAGCTCTTGAATGATGCTACGCTTGGGAACGGAACCAGGTCACTGATTTCTTCATCAACTGGTTGCTCAGGTGTGGCATGGTATTGGAGTGTATTTGGGCTAGTCCCTCAGTTAACTAACAATTCGAGTGTGTTAGAAGTTGACTTTTGTGGAGTCCAGATGTTATACTGCGCAGACAACTGACTTCTGTTAATCGTCTACTTTAACGCTCTTTGGGTTCAGTGGTTGTTCGGTCCCAGAAGAAATTCCAAATGGGCGAGTACGAAGTGACTGTACGTTCAATACTTTTTGTTCAAATGGTCTTGCTAGTCTCGCTGCCTCGTTTACATATAATTGAGGAATAAAGGCGTAATCCGTCACATACTCACAATATTTGTGCATCAGATATTTTTAGTTTGAACCGAATACTATTTTACATCTTGGATCTTATACTTTTTAAGGACAAACTCTATTAGAATTCATTGAAAAGGTAAAGAATTATTTGTTTCATTTCGCAACGGATAACAAAATCCTGTTTCAGCATTAGGGGTTATGAGAAAGTTTAGATAGCAGAGACGAAATAGACACGAAATAGACAGGTGTATACATTTACCTCTTTTCAGAATCTTACTTTCTTTCCAGAATTTTACTTACGGAAATGTTTTTTACAAACAAATTTAAATGAACTACGTAACGTGTTTAAGAAACTAATTTACTACTGTAGCACCTCCCGGCGTAGGGAAACGCACGGTTAGCGGCCCGGTTCTAGCTCAGTCGGTCCTACTCCCTTTA